TGGTGCCGGGCTGGGCATGCGGGGGAAGGTTTGGGGTGTGACTGCCCCCCGAGGTTTGCTGTGGCTGCTGGTGGTGGGTTTAGCTGCTGGTTTTGTGACTCGTCTCAGCTCTTTTCTGTAAAGACTATGCTTGTCGTGTGCTCGCTGAGGTCTCTGTTCTGTTAGCTTCGTGGTGACCTGGCGACGTCACAGAGACTCCTGACCTGCCGGAGCCCACGTCACAGACTCGCGTCCGGCCTCTGCGGGCTGGCCGTGCGCTGGGCGCGCTCCCTGCTCGGCTGGGCCGCCTGCAGCTTGAGCGGAGCCGAGAGGTCAGCCAGGCCGAGAGCGCGGGGGCTCCGCCGGCCTTTCCGAGCCCGCAGCCACCCGGGCGCCCGTGGACCAGGACTTCCTCGAGGGTCTATTCCCTCGCCCACGCGCTGCCTCTGTCCGCTGCCGTCCCCCGCCCCCCCCTCATCCCTCATCCCAGGCAGCTGCCGCGGGACATGGCTTTCAATGCTTTCTGACAAATGCCACCCGGGAGGCTGCTCCAGGCCTGAGAATCTTCTAGGGCCAGTGAGACAAAGCCCCGACCAGCCCTGGGGGAGCCGCGAGCAGACGCAGCAGACGCCACAGACACGGATGCAGACATGACACAAACACAGACACGGACACGGACATGGACACAGACACAGACACGACACAGACACAGACATGACACAGACACGACACAGACACAGACACAGACACGGACACAGACACGACACGGACACAGACACAGACACGACACGGACACAGACATGGACACGACACGGACACAGACACAGACACGACACGGACACAGACACAGACACGACACGGACACAGACACAGACACGACACGGACACAGACACAGACACGACACGGACACAGACACAGACACGACACGGACACAGACACAGACACGACACGGACACAGACACAGACACGACACGGACACAGACATGGACACGACACGGACACAGACATGGACACAGACATGACACAGACACAGACACGGACACAGACATAACACAGACATGACACAGACATGACACAGACACGGACACGACACAGACACGGACACGGACACAGACACAGACACAGGCCATAACTACCCAAGAGCCAGGTCTGCCCGGCCCCTCTGCACCGTGAGGCATGGGGAACAGCGGCCAACTCCCCGCAACGGCCATGGAGCTGGGGGCGGGGGGGGGGAGGTCAGGCCGGTGAGTTAAAAGGCCATGTGCTCTAACCCCAGAGTCTAAGAGCTGCTTCTTTCATGAAACACACACCCCAACCCCCACTCGCGCCCCCGTGGGAGTAAGTCTCATGTGGGACCCCAGAATTTAGAGATGTTTGTTCTGATATATATTCTTAATGTTTTTATTGGTTTTTATAGAGAGAGGAAGGGAGAGGGAGAGAGAGAAACATCAGTGATGAGAGAGAATCATTGATCAGCTGCCTCCTGCACGCCCCACACTGGGATCGAGCCCACACCCAGGCATGTGCCCTTGACCCAAATGGAACCCTGGACCCTTCAGTCCACAGGCCGACAC